CTCTTAGTAGACATTTGCAAAAGTACTCTTAGGAATGGCTTGTGAATCACTGTTGACTTGATCTATTATTAACACATTTCATACCGCTCAGGAGTTTTCTCGTGTTTTGCGCGCCATCTGTTAAGGACCGCTCACGAGTGTTCTCGTTTTTCACGCCCATGGAAAAAGGAGCGAATCTAGATACTTATGTAAATTTTGTTTGGTCCCTCTTCATAGAGGAAAATGTTTTACGCAGTACCATATGTTAAAAAAGTACTAGGAACTTTAATTGTTTTAGTAAATAAAAATGTTATAATTATTAAAAAACAACACCTAAAGTGCATTATGATGATTTAAATAACGTGCAGTTTGCCCCAAAACGTGCGGTCCCTGGCGTATGTCTTAGAGATTTCTATGCAGTACGCAATGTGTTAACAACTAGAGGCCCGGTACACGAAAATTTGTGCACTGGAGTGGGAGCGCGGGGTGGGGATGGGGGAGGGTCCCTTAGCCCGGCCTGCACCCTCTGACAGTCCGGGAGTCCTCAGGGGATGTCTAAGCTGCAGTCTGGCCTCCCTCTGGGAGAGGCGAACTGGCAGGCCGATCAGGATCAGGGGACAGCGCCACCCCCATCACCCTGTTGAGGCTACCACCTGGCCTTTCTCTGTGGGATCAGCCGGCGCTGCCCTCATCACCCCGCTGCAGCTTCCACCCAACCTTTCTCTGCAGGATCGGCCTGGTGCCACCCCCATCACCCTGTCACCACTGGCCTTTCTCTGCAGGATTGGACCAGCGCCACCCCCATCACCCCGCTGCAGCCTCCACCCAGTCTTTCTCTGCGGGATTGACCCAGCGCCGCCCCCATCACCCCACCACGGCCTTGCTGGTGGCCTCCCTCTGTGGGAGGCAACCGGGCGGGCCCCCCAATTGCCCCTCCGACACGGCTGGTCGCCATGCCCCTCCCCCCCATTGCTGTTTCTTTCCTCTGCCTGCTGGCAAGCGCCTTGGCTGGCCTGGCATAGCTTGCTTGCTGGCCCTGCCCCCTGCCGGCTGGTTGTTCTGCCGTTCAAACACTTATGATAGTATAGGGTGAAATGTTACAGGGGGTGGTGTTGGATAGTAGTGATGTAGACAAGGATGAACAGGCTGCTCTAAGGCAATTCTCTATTGGTGTCTGTGTTTCTGCACTTACTGTACTTTGTTCTGGACTATCTTTTCAAGGATGTTTGTATAGGGAATAGCCTTGGAAGACAGATAGTGTCTTCCTCCCAAGGAAAGAGCAAGTTTGATTACAGCTCATTATAAAAAAGGGGGCGATCCCTAAGCTTAGAGTGCTGTATTGCAACCCATTGCTTCTGTATGGATGCATCGGGGCCTGTACACATGGCTGCTTTTAAGATTCTCTCTGTCTTTGATCTTTTGCATTTTAATTATGATGTGTCTTGGTTTGGGCCTCTTTTGGTTCATCTTGTTTGGGACTCTGCACTATCTGGACTCATATGTCTCTGTCCTTCACCAGGTTAGGAAAGTTTTCTGTTATTTTTTTAAAATAGGTTTTCAATTTATCGCTCTTTCTCTTCTTCTTTTGGCACCCCTATGATGTGAATGAATATTGGTAAGCTTGACGTTGTCCTAGAGCAGCGGTTCTCAACCTGTGGGTCGCGACCCCTTTGGGGGTCGAACGACCCTTTCACAGGGATTGCCTAAGACCATCGGAAAACACATATATAATTACATAGTTTTTGTGATTAATCACTATGCTTTAATTATGTTCAATTTGTAACAATGAAATTGGGGGTCACCACAACATGAGGAACTGTATTAAAGGGTCATGGCATTAGGAAGGTTGAGAACCACTGTCCTAGAGGATCATTATACTATCCTTGTTTTTTTGGATTTTTTTTTTCTTTTTGCTATCCTGATTGGGTGTTTTTTTTTCCTTATATTCCAAATTGCTGATTTGATTCTCAGCTTCATCTACTCTACTGTTGATTCCCTGTAAGTTATTCTTTATTTCAGTTAGTATATCCTTAATTTCTGTCTGGTCCTTTTTTATGATGTTGATGTTCTCACTAAGTTCATTGAGCATTCTTATAATCAATGTTTTGAATTCTGCATCTAGCAGATTGCATGTCTCCATTTTGTTTAGTTCTTTGTCTGAAATTCTGTTCTGTTCTCTCATTTGGGACATGTTTCTTTGTCTCTTTATTTTGGCAGCCTCTGTGTGTTTCTTTCTATATATTAGGTAGAACTGCTGTGTCTCCCATACTTGGTAGAGTGGCCTAATATAGTAGGTGTTCTGTAGGGTCCAATGGCACAAGCCTCTCCAATCACTAAGCTGGCACTCAAGCTGCACCCTCCTTCCGTGTGGTCTGTGTACACCCTCCTCTTGTAGTTGAGCCTTGGTTGCTGTTGGCACATCAGTGGGAGGTATTTATCCCCAGGCTCATCAGCTTCAAGGACTGGCTGCAACACCAACCACTTTGGAGGATCAGCTGTGCAGGGGCCCCCACTCCACAGGGCAGGACTTATTTCAGTAGGGCTCTGGTGTCAGCTGCGTTCGCCCCTTGAGTGTGTCACTTATGGGGATGGTTGGGTGGTGATGCTTTGACATGGTTTAAAGCTCTCCACTTGTGCTGGCTCTGGGGCCTCCTGGGAGGTGGAGGCCAAGGTCAGCTGCTGCCTCTGTTTTGCCTGGGGTCACCTAGCATGAGCTACAAAGTGATCTGCAGGTGGCTGCTACTTGTGCTGGGTTTGGAGATACCCAAGCGACCCTAAGGCCACCTGCTGTGACCCTAAGAACAGCAGGTCAAGGCATGCAGAGGCTATATGCTGCTTGTTTTAGAGATTTTAAGAAAATCTGAAGCATGAACCAAGACCGGCCATTTGTATGGAAAAGGCCTGGAAACAGCTTGGGTAGACCTGAAAGTTGGGAGGGGTGGGGCCTCAGGGATTCTCCAGGATGGGGTGAACACTGTGAGCCACATTAATGGTGTCTCAGATATGTTGCCCACGTGCTGGCTCTGTAGGGAGAAGGCTCATCAAATGAACAATGGCCTCTTCCAGGACTTCTGTCTGGGAGAAAGCTGTCCTTCCCCGCCCCCAGCTCTTGCCCTGATACCAGACTATTCAGTTTCTCCTCATATGTCTCTGTTGTCTTTCAAACTGCTTCCCCCGTGGTGGAGCTCAGAGGGAGTAAGTCCGTGTACAGTCCCTTTAAGAGGAATTGCATGGGACGCCATCAGACCTCCATCTCCCTCAGCCTCAATCCCTGTTGGTTTTTACAGCTGGAAGTTATGGGGACTTCTTTTCCTTGCACTGGAATCCTGGGATAGGGGACCTGGTGTGGGCCTGGGACCCCTCACTTCTTAGGGAGGACTTCCACAACCAAAATAGCCCTGCCAGTTTTTATCTGCCACACATGGGTGTGGGACCAGCACGTTCTGCATCTCCATTCCTCCTACTAGTCTCAATGTGGCTTCTTCTTTAATTCCCTAGTAGTAGGATTACCATTCAGCCAGATTTCAGGCAGTTCTGAATGATGGTTGTTCTGTAGTTCAGTTGTAATTTTCATGTGGTTGTGGGAGAAGGCAAGTACCCATTTACTTGTGCCACCATCTTGCTGGAAGTTGCCACATACCACTTTTTAAAAGGCAGAAGATTTATATAATCTGAAGAGAAATCAGAGTATCACACACCACTTTTTAATACACTTATTTTGGTAGGCGAAACATTAGTTTTGTTATTTACACTCCTTTGCAGTCACAGCATATTTGTATAATAAGGAACTCAGTTTTTGGCTACTGTGAAAACCCAAGATGTGTTTTATGAACATTTAAGGATATTATCATTCACATCATATTAAGTGCTGATTTAGTGGTTTATTTGGACCCTGATGTTGGATTATTAAAGTATAAGAAATGCTTTTAGAAAGAAAATATCAGATAAGTAAAGTGATGTTTTAAAAAAATTTTTTTTTTGCTCATTCTATGCAACAAATTATTCTTTTGGGAACTTTTTTGTTCTATAGTAGAGGAATGTCAATATTTTACACTCTTAATTGCTTCTTTTCCTTATTACTTTTTTGTGACTAAGAGAAGCAGCTACTAATGGACTCTCACCAGTGGTTTAATTTCTTTAAAATGTCTAATTGAGTAGTAGCATGTTTAAATTTGAATGATCAAATTCAGAATACAGAGTTCGGTGAAATAGGACTGATTTCATATTTGGGTATTTTTTTCTCTCCTATTCTTTTATCCGCTCACACCTCCTTCCCCATTATCTCATTATCACCAATGCAATGTACAGTGCTACGGGAAAAACAGAAGAATATAGGAGAGGCTTCCCGCCTTAGGGCTTATGCATATTCTCTACTTGGAATGTGTTTCTTGCCATTCTTTGTTTAGCTAGCTACCACTCATTCTTTAGGTCTCAACTTAAAACATCACTTAATATGAGAAGCTTCCCATGACCTCATGGATTTCATATGAGGTGATAGACCATGTGTATTTTGTGCAGTTTGGTTCTCCACAAGGTAGTGGAATGCTTGTCACATATCAGGAACTTATTAATTGGTATAAACTGTCATCATGGAGCTTTGGATCTAAATGGCAGAGGCAGATGGATAAACTAATTAAGAAGTACAGTGTATTCAGTTTAATACTAGAAGGAGTTTGAGTTCACAGAGACGGAAACAACTCTGCACAAGAGGAGAACTGGAGTCATTTGCTCTTCTGTTCCTTTTTAGAACTAGTATGATATTAGTGTCTATTTTTCAAGTTAATTCATTAATTTAAAAACATTTGGAATATTTATTCATGCCCAAAAGTTCATAATAAAGCTTTCCAAAACAATTAAATTATCCATATTTTGTTTCTTGTAGCCTTTTGTTTAAAGTTGTTTTCTCTGAGATGTTTTACAAGATGGTGTGTGGGAGGTAAGTGAGAGGGAAAACTGTGATTCTTGTTTCTGGTAGTTTTTATTAAACTAATACGCTCTTGTATGTCATTTTTCTTTTTTAGGTTCTTGAAGCCAGATATTTGAAATTTACCATTGTCATCTATCTGAGCAACTATAACTTGTCTTTGTTGTATATACAATTATAAAGATATTAATTATTCTTAAAACAGTTTAAGTGTCAGGTGATGGAAGAATATAAATGAATACATTAGTAAGTAGATAATATTTATGTTTAATATTTTTCATAGATAGCTGGTAATGTACTATTTACTTATCTTTATAATTAAAAATTAATCTATATTATGTAATTAGTATAAAATATTTTAAAGACCTCATCTGAAAATTTAAGATTACGGTGATCTCCAGAAACATCTAGAGAGCATGAAAATGATTATTTTATTCATCTTTAAGCTTTATTTTTTTTCTGTTTCCTGCTTTTATGTTGTCACCTTTTTCATTTCTGCAATAGAATTCAGTATGAAGATTCATATTATCTTCTTTATTTTTATTTATTTATTATTTATTGTCTAAAGTTTTACATATGTCTCTCCTCCCCC